AGCCGGCTAGAAGTGCTGAGTGCTGCTGTTTGCTTTGTACACAGAAATTCGCTGAGGCTGTAAGCTGTCCCCAAACATCTGTTCTTGGGAGTCGTAAATGGTGGGAGAAACAAGGGCTAGAAAGTGGTCTGCATACACATGCCCTGTGCGTTATAGATGTATATATGTGCAAGGTGCCTTAAGACCTTCCTCCTTCTATGTGTGTTGGTGACAAGCAAACAAATGACCATCAGTTCTTCATTTTACAGCTTACAGTGCAGTAGGAACTGATGCTGTGCGTGTTGGTAATGAAGAGTGTTTGTGTGGGATGTGAAGGTGTTGGACGCGGTGTGTCTTCTTTTGTTAGTGCACGATAGTATCCAGCCATTTTAAGGACCACCCATCAGATTTAGCCACCGTCTGAGGCAGATGCACAAGCGAGACATGCAGTGGCTTTAAAAAAGTACGCTTGAAGATTGTTGCATTTTAAATGACTGCTTGATATGGTGATGTGCTATAAATATATGTGTGAGGATTCCTGTATTTTTGAAATGAATAGTTTTTTCAGTAAGTTTCATTAACTGTTTGGGATTATTTAAATAGTTTTATTATAAGTATTTCCTTAATAATACCTAAGAAAAAATTATTTTTTATTTAAAGATTTACATTGAATTTCGATGGCTGTTTAGGATAATTGTATTAGTTTTTTAATGTTTTGTCTGTTGTTACTATCAAATGAAATATCAATATATTGTTTTTTCCATAAAATTATAATTGAAAATACAATTTTTATTTGAACATTAATATCAGTCAAAACTGTTGGATTTATTGCTAAATGCAATTATTTTGTTAGATTAATTGATAAATGCAATGATTTGTTATCTTTAAAAGCATATAAACAATATTTTAAAATATTTATGAAGATCAAAGTTGCAAAGATTGTTGCAAGATAAAAGATGTATTAAAAACATACATGCTGTTTATTTTAAAACTCATATTTTAAACCAGTATTCAGAAAATATGTCTGATAAAATGGAATCAAATGCAGGTAGTTTATTTAAAATATTTCAAAAGAGATGTTAACTTTTTCTTGCCTGTATTTTAAATGTGAGAAAGTTGTAATCTTTAATTGCATTAAAACAACATTTTTAAATATTTATGAAGATCAAAATTGCAAACTTATTAGAGCAAACTAAAAGATGTATTAAAACACAGTCTGTTATTTTAAAACCCATATTTTAAACCAATATTCAGAAAATACATCTGATAAAACAGAATAAAATGCAGGTAGTTTATATAGAGTATTTTAAAGGTTGCATTAACTTTTTTCTTATCTGTGTTTTAAATATGTTAAGGATTTAAAGGCATTAGAAAATAACAAAATATTATAAAATAACAAAATAACAAAATATTTTTAAATATTTATAAAGGTCAAAGTTGCAAACTAAGAGAAACTAAAATATGATTAGAAGTAAATGGCCTTGTCTTTAATGCATTTGCATGATATTGTTTTAGGGAATATGGGGAAATTAATAGTCAGTTTGTTTATTAAATTTTTAAAATTATTTTTCTGATTGTGTGCACTTTTGCTTCATTTTTGTTTAACCAAGTGTACTCTATAGTATAACATTTTATTGTACCTAAATTAGTGAAACAATATCATAAGTGTCTTATTTTTAATTATGAATAAAATGTGCCATTTTAATACTTTAATTGTATTTTGCCACTTAAGGTAAATCAATACTACATAAATTATTAATATCATTCAAATAAATGGTGAAGTATTTCGTAAAATTGGTTTACTTTAAGACATTGTTGCTATTACTAACAACAGTTACTTAACTTAAAGGAAGTGTTCTAAAGTCATAATAGCAATTTAATAGTAATAATAATATTTATTTTAACTTTTGATTATTTTACACATTTGTTTACTTGTTAAATAGATAAAAAAAAACTTTTCCTATAAAGTACGTTTCGAGTAAAATTGTGTTTTCATTTTGAGTGGTTGACACTTGTAGCAGCAACATTTTTCTCTCCGTGTATTTGCATCTAAATTATTGCTATTCACTCAGACTTGACTGATATTAGGCCTGTGATGTATAAAATAATGTATGGCTTTGGCCATCATCCTGAGAGCATCGCTGTGCGCAAGGTAATGTCGTTTCCTATCAATTACTGAATAAAATGCAACAGTGCGATGAGGATTATACTTGATCCCATCACGTTATCTATTTCTGCACCCACATCCCATAACGTGGGCATTAAAGCCCTTGCATGCGGATGTAACTGAGCTAAAATGCTCATCAGGCTTGTGTAGGTGAAATCTAATGATCTATACGAGAGGAAAAGTTCCTTCCTGAACGCTGTAATATTTCATGCGTCAGATGTTTCGAGAAGGAATTTGCAATATCGTAAACAAGCCTATGCTTTTCTCAATTCCAAACCTGGGGACATTAAGTTCGCGTTCACGCTTACAAGCGTGTCAAAATAATGGTCATATATCTAGTTTTATAATCTGGTTTTAAAATATGATATGAGAGTTGTTTGGAGTAATATGAATTCAATTTGGCTACAAATGATTTGATTCAGTGCTTTTTCTATAAAAGGCGACCAAAAAGACAATGCAGTAGTAGTAGTAGTAGTAATAATAATAATAATAATAATAATAATAATAATAATGTATTATTCCTATTGTTTTCTTTATTAATAAAGATATATTATTACTATAGTTCATGTTGTATTATTATTGTAGTTTAATACTAAAGTTTTATCAATAGTCGTTGGAATAATTAGTAATAACTGATCCATTATTAATTTAAAGTTTTGCTTTTATTACATTTGTATTTTATGGATTTTGCACATGCATCTTAAATTATGTAACTACATGCATTGACTGTAACGAGAATAAACATCTTAACATTGAAAAAAGTGTGAAGACACCGCGAGGGCAGCACAAATTAATAATGCAGCCTTTTCTCTGTGAGCCACTGACCGGGTCACTGCTGTCTCGAGGCAAAACAGAGGTCAAAGGGTGAAAGGTGAACTCTGGAGTAACTGCATATATTAGCAGGCTTAGGCATGCAAGTCGTGCTTCGTGCATGTATGTTTCCTGATACGGCGAGGTTATATGTTTTAGTAGGCCACAGTAATAACTCTGAACGTATTTAGAACGAACCCTTTTGGAGGAACGTTTATTTCAATTATTTTTATGTTATACACCTGTGTAGTGTTTGTTTGATTAACGCATCTTGATTTTAATGCTGCTGGAAATTTTAAGGGCATTTAATATAGTTAAAGAAGACTCATTTTCACGGTTCTGGCTGGTTCAGGTCATTTATCTTTTCACAAGACTGTTATGCTTTAGAATTCGCTTTGATATAAGGAGGAATATGTAAGAGAACTTTAAATTAAAATTATTATTACGCTGTGGAATTATCGCAATGGGACAGTTCATCAAAGGACAGCACTTCTGTTTTGAAAATTGATTTTGTGAAGAATAAAACCCTGGGCTTATCTTAAATTTTAGTGATCACACTGAAAATAAATAAGTAAAAATAAATCTGACCTTAATTCTACTGCTGTTATTATTCATCCCATCAAAGCAAATCAATTAAAAGTCAACCAACTTAAATCCACAGCACGTCGATGAATCGATCGTTTGTAAATGTCGATAATCCCCTCTCGTCCCGCTTAATTCTAGTAATTATTTCTGTCCGCACTCATCGAATAGCTCAGTAAAAAGGTAGATATTTGGGATTATACAATGCAAATAACTCCATGTGTTTCTTCATAACACTTTAAGTTAAATTATTAAGATAAAGTGCAACTAAAAGATGCCATCTGAATAAAAGAGCATGCATTCGAAATGTAAACGCTGCCAAGCAAATAATAATCACATGAAAAGTCTGTCTTCATTCCTCCACCCGTTCTTCCAGCTCTCAATGCACTACTTTGATGCTATTAAAATGAGGAGTTGGTATCAGAAGGTTCAACCCGTGGCACTGGATTTAACCTCTTCCAGCAATAAATTGGTGAAAATACACGGCTAAGTGGAGGCACTTTGTACGTTGACAGCTTTTCGCCATTATTTAGAAAGACGAGTATCACCGATCATCGTGCGGCGCTCTTTATTTGCAGATAAAAGCACAGGCAGCATGAATATGACAGACACCGCATGCCTGTAAAACTGCAGCAAACCTGTTGAGTGTGTTTCCCGTGTGTACATTTATGCTATATTGTACGTGCACGATGTTTTGTTTACAATTACTTTTTAATAACGCTTGTCATGTTAATCTAAAGAGTTACTAATATCCCGCTCGGTGCATTAAAATCGTTGATATTTTTTAGAGATTACTTTAATATAAGTATCACGAGTTTGGTTTAGAATCAGAAATAATAATCAGATTAGACCATTATCAGAAATACTTTTTATTAAGATAAATAATTTTACGTTTGTAATGTCATTTTTCGTATGTTATATATAAAACATATATATATACTATTAATTGTATACCCATAATTTAAACGAAAATTCAGCAAATATGCATTTGATAAAACGAAGTAAAAGCAGGTAGTTTATATAAAGTATTTCTAAAGTGGCAAGTTAACGTTTCTTGCATTTTACCTGATGTTTTAAATATGCAAGGAATTTTTATGACACGTTTGCACTGATCCCTGATCATGATTCCGATGCGTCTTTTTAATTGAATGTTCAATAACAGAAATGTATATAACATATCGAAATTAAAATAATATTATATAAGCTAAAAAGTGCATTTTTATTAAATCATATTCTCCGCTTGTCTCAACAGGTGAGCAAGCTTCGTTCGTGTCAGATTCATTACTTTAATTTCTTAAACTGGATCTAAAAATAAATATTAATATGTGGGGTGCAAACTTAAATTCGGGCGTGCAAATATATTTCGATATTTCAACAGAATCACTGTCTTGTCTCTCGCTTTTAATTTTCACGTGACTGTTCATTCTGTAGCGTCCCAACAATCTTACCCTATTAAAATTATTTAATCAGGAGATGAACAAGTGTCACTTTTTTTCGAGTCCTCATCACATCCAGAAATCAGCATTAATCCTTGAGCTAGGCCTTCCCGCAGCATTTTCTTCTGTTTCATGCGTCTGTTCTGAAACCAGATCTTCACTTGTGTTTCGCTCAGCTGGAGAGGGTTTGCGATCTCTATCCGTCTGGCTCGAGTCAGATATTTGTTGAAATGAAACTCCTTTTCAAGTTCTGTGAGTTGTTTCGTTGTAAAATTAGTTCGCGAGCCTCCACTCGAAGTGTCCTCGTCAGAATCTCGTCCGTGGTTCGTCTTCAGCTCCCGGTCCGAGCATTTTCCCAGTTGTATCTTAGCTGTAAAAGAAATGCAATATAAATGTATATTAAAAGCATAAATATAATATAAGGTAAATTCAGGGATTGCAAAAGTGCTAACATTGCATGTTATTTCAGTTTTTAAAAATGATTACAGCCTATTTGAAAGCAGAATGAAAGCATATCGTTAAATAATGTCATTAAGAATCAAACGACAGCGAAAAAACTAACAGGTACCAAACGTTTTGTTTTTGTTTCTAGTTTATTGGGTATTACAATCACTAAATATTTGCATTGATATTTATAATAAGTTGAGCACAATGTAAACGATTTAATCTATGCATATACAAAACGCTAGGTTATGAATGTAAAATAGTAGTGCATAAGCCCTAATAAAATACTGTTATATTAATGTGCTGCTCTTTTGTCATGTAATACATTTTCATAGGCCTATATAAAAGTAATAACATATTAAAAGACACACATTAAAAGAGTTTTAACAGTGATATTAGAAACTTTTATCACTGACATCTTTAATTTCACCCCAAAATAAAGTTTATGATCTTTGTGTTTTGTTGGAAATAGTAAGAGGTTAATTCTGATAAATGGTGAAATTTTTAAAGTTTTGATAAATCCCCAGCCTTTGAGTTCTTCCATAAAAATTGCAATTACATTTTTATAGCAGAAATATTTCCTAGATTTCCAAAATGATCACTCATTCGTGGCTCTTGCCGTTAAATCTAATTTCATTGCAAAAGTGGTTTCTGATTGTGTGACCTTCACCTGAACGAAGAGTTCCAGTCACTGGCGAATAAATAGAGGAGTGTGTTTGTTTGTACCTTACAGATGACTGCAGGACAGGGGTTAGATGTACTGTCCGTCATGGCCTGTCGTAAAAATATGCAAAACATGCTGCTTTGCGGTTTAGAACTATGTACTTTGTCCAATCTAGTATGCTCTATAAATTAATGAGAGACAAAGTGCCCTTCTCTACCATGGTAATTTTAGAATAGCGTATAATATGCAGTTTAACTAAGCTGCTCCACTGACAGCTGTTTTTAATGGAAATCAAGCTCTTGTTTTGTTGTTTGCTTGTGTTGTTTGCTTTTGGAAGCACACAGGAAGTTGCACATTCCTTTACGACACACACACACACACACACACACACACACACACACACACACACACACACACACACACACACAAGGGGTCAGGCGGGAAAATCCCCTGGAGTGATGCAGACGCAGTGAGCCCTCACATACTGCTACAGTTGCAAGTGTCTCTGTAACCTCTGTGCCATCTGCACACCATGTGTATGAGTGTGTGCTTGTGCTCATGTCATTGCAGTCAAGGACCTACAGTCTGAACAGATGCAGGACGTACAAAGACAAACCTCAGATAAATGCACAATGTTTTGGTTGCAGTAGCAAAAGAGAGGGCATTTATTTGACTTGCTGCTTTCGGTGTTTTCCTGCATGAGCTTCACGAGTTGTCAATTTACACACTCTTGTTGAACAAACTACATGCCACTAATAGCAACCCTCAGCTTCTCTCTTAGGGCTCAGAGCACAAACAGTTGATTATACAGTTGATTTTAAGTGTGCTCGCCACTGATCTTTATCATGCTCTCGCTGCGCAGATAAAAGCAAAGCGAGACATGAAAAAAGCAATTGTAGGGTCACCTCCAATGTTCACGAGGGACATTCTAACAATCTGTGCATTCACTGACAAATATGAAGTAATTAAGCAATGTCCTTTGGAGAAAAAAAAAGTGTGCATGGAATTACTGATGAATGAGTTGCTGGATAATAGAATTGGCAGTTGCCAGAAGGCATAAAGGAATCAAACTAAACATTTGAGGAATGACTTGCAAACTTGGAAATGGCCAGCCAGCCAGAGGGATGACGTGGCCCACTAAGCCTAAAACAGAGCAGGGGAACTGGGGGTGGGGGATCGATACAGATTGCCTCGGTCATCTGGGCATCCAGCCCACAGTAATTCAGGTGCTGTCAGGGTATAATTGAAGAATGACGCACCGGGACTCTGTGCACTGTACTGGGGGATCCAGTCAGACACTCTATATAAGCTTTTATTCATGTTGAGTATAGGAAACATTTTGATGCTGCCTAGTAAGGACTGTAACCCTCACAATGCATGTGCTCTCTGACGTAAAGGCAAAGTTTGGCCTAAAATTTACATTTTGTCATCATTTGCTCAGTCAAACCTGTGGAACCCAAAGAAGATATTTCAAAGAATGTTGAATAATGATAAAGGAAGTTGCATCAATGGAATTCAATTTAAAAAATAATTTGAAGCCTGCACAGGTCTGTCATTTTTGGGTTTAAACTATTGTTTTAATATTTTAATAATACATTTTAAGTAAAATTCAGTTCGGTGGTGTCCAAGATACTTTTATTATGTGCAGAAAAATAAACATTCATCCTACTGTTTAGCATTTGTCTTCGCTGATGTGAGTATTAACTTAAACACTTGTTGACAGAGCTCCCATATATCATCATGCAGTGCTTTCTCCATAAGGTTTGTGATGAAACTAAAGACATTACCATTAATTATCTTAAGTGAAATTCAACATTGTCATTTACTACTTGCATGCATGTGTGCATTGAATAAAAGTGAGTAGGATCCAGCATTGTTCAGACACTAGGGTTTAAAAAAAAAAAATAGAGTGAGCTACCTCTTTAAGCCTCACTCTTAAAGGGGCAGTGAAGTTTGTGGCTAGCTAAAAATAAGTGCAAACACTTGTGTGCTTATATAGTACCTGATGAAAACAATGGCTCTGTCATGTGTCTCCTGGTGAATGTGGGTGGACAGGCGGGAGAAAAACAAACAGCAGAAGTTTCAGTACAGTAAACAAAGTGTGAACTTCTGGCCTTGCCACCGTTTAAGCATTTGGGATTTGATATAACAGGCCTCTCTATCCTATTTTCTGACCACAGCTGCTGTTCATACGCTGGGCAATATAGCCCGAAATGACCTTTTCACTGACATATTTGCCTGTGAGTTATTTTAGATCATCAGTGTGGCCTGGCCAGACATTCTTCTCCTTGACAGTCTGGAAACCATATGAATGCTGCATTACTGATTCGTAGGAAATGACAAATCAAACAGGGCTCTTCTTGGTTTTACCATCAACCTATTACATATATTGTGATTTATTGGGGGGACGAGCGATTCACAATTTAACACACAGCTCTCACAACAAACATGAAATACTTTGACATAATACAGGTCAAATGTCATTGAGCGTGACATTTTATGAGCACATGTCAAGTAACTCACATTTGAACTGCATTAAACGCAGACCTATCCAATCATTACTCTGGTTAAGGATTACGCTGAGATTCTGACAGACATTTTCCGACATTCAATATAGAAAATTAATTGCAGCATATAAACATTGGTCTCTATTAAGATTTAGGGCTCTGTCGAGGAACAGTGTTCCTCTGAAGTTTATTTGGCTCTGCATGGAGAGCTAGGGGGTGCTGGACTCCTTTAAATATGGCCTGAGCTGCTGCTCGTCAATGGGAGGATTTTAAGGGGATGAACACAGACTAGCGTGGAATGTGCTATTTATAAAAATGGAGGAACTCAGCCTGGCATTGTTGTTGCTGACCCATTTAAGCACCAGAGCAGATCTTGTTTTATTACCCTCTACTTAAATTTTTAAAGGCTTCTCCATAAAATGTTTTCAGCACTCAGGCAGCCTGATTTGTGATGCAAAAACTCCCTGTCCCTGACACGTGCCACATCTGCTGAAGAAATTGGGGGGAGTTTTGCCTTCCTTGCTCGTTTGGAAACTTGGTTAATATTGTTAAATGTAATGTGTAAATGTTGCATTTATAATGTTTCTTTGTGTGCATGTATGTATGTATGTATGTATGTATGTATGTATGTATGTATGTATGTATGTATGTATGTATGTATGTATGTATGTATGTATGTATGTATGCATGCGTGTGTGTGTGTGTGTGTGTGTGTGTATATATATATATATATATATATATATATATATATATATATATATATATATATATATATATAATCTTATTATTATCTTATTTTTTATATATCAGAGCCTATTTATTACATGCTGTTTTTTTCAGTGATTATATAATACATTTTAGGTAGAAAACCCTAAGCCTTCAGTCAAACCTGTTGAGTTAAATAAAAACGATTTTTGGCTTATTTATTACTTTAAATCTACTCGCAGGTAAAACATTAGTCCAATAGTCTATGTAGTTGTATTTTTTTTAAATGGCCCGACACATGGCTCCACCTCCAAGTATAAATTTTGCATGCCTAAAAGTTCATGTTACACTTACACTTACAATAATTTCAAAACAAGTTTATATGGCACGTTTAGCAACTTAAAAAAAACTAAACCACATAAACGTTGTAAAGAATTTCATCTAACAATATTTGTTGCCTGGAGTACATCACGGTGCTTTAACGGTACGTGCGCTTTAAAAAGTTAATCGTGCTAGAAAACTTTTGTCAACTTACCTGCACGGGACTGATTTCTCCTCACTCTCATCCATTCGAATGTCTTTCCACTGTGTAAAGTCTCGTTTAACGTGTTTAGAGCCCCGTGTCCAGTATTATCATCCTCCACTGCGGAGTGACGCACTGGGCCGTCGTATGTGCGCACTTCGGTCTGTGTGTTGTTGACAGGGCCGAGTTCACAGTGCGCGCTGGAGAAAGTTCTGAAAGTGTCTGATGAAGGCGAGAAGCCCTTTCTGGAGAGACCCTGCTCACGACAGCTTTGGAAGGAGGGGACTTGGGGTCGATTGGGGTGCACTGGTCTATAGAAATCTTGATTTTGGGGGAAGGGGGGTCTGGTAGAGTTAGCACGGCCAGGGTCTTCACAGGGCTTTGAGCACGCGCCTGTGGCCGTGGCACAGAGATTCGTGAAATGATATTGAAGAAAATCCGCCTCGTTGTTGACATCCTCCCTGCTTGGGAAGTCAGCAGTTGATCCGTGGTCCTGATGCAGACGCATTACTCCAGTAGCATGATAGCCCTTGATGAAAAGTGACGTTGTGTCCCTGAACCCATGATAAGAATTCATGACCGCATCTCATATATTCCAGATTTTCATCCGAGGCTGGACGCGAAACTCCATCCACAGACGCCACACATAGCGCGCAAAAGGACGGAGGCACCGATCTAGACAGGGACATGCCTTGTAGAAACATTCGATCGGTGATGGATGGGGATGACGTGCCCTCTAACTCTTGGCCAATAGCCGGACATCTCCCTCATCCGAGTGAGCGTTAATTTACCAAAGCAAGCAAGTTTGAACGACTTATTTGACCTGCTAATAAGGTCTCGTGGATTGTGTGTGCGTGTGGGTGCTGGAGCCTGTAAGAAGGGAGGTCAACATAAAGACTTAATATCATAATAGACAATGTCACGTTTTATGGAAGCGCACTTTCTTTTGGTCGATTATTTCTTGTGAGAATTTTGTACACGTCAATGCAAAATCACTTGTAGGATATTCACTTTTATGTTCAGGTCTAGTTTTTTTTAGGTAAACTATGGACAGAATAATATTTCGACACGGTTGATTGTTCTGTCTCTACATAGTGTGTGTGTGTTTCAGAAGGCCCCTATCAGAGTTTCAAATTAGCTCGCACGGAAAATCAATGACTTTTAAAGTCAGTATAGAAGCCAAGGCTTACCCGAATGTCCACAGCCAAGGGAATACGGTTTAAGCAATTGTCGATAGTTGTTAATGAGAACGCCATGGATCCTTTGGTTGACGTCTGTTAAATAAAACGTGACAATTATGCTTCATTTAAACTTTGAATAAACATTTAAACGACCAAGTATAGCGCTCTCGTGTGTCTTTCCCTAATCCAGCTAACCTACAATTACATTCTTTTTTTTTCCTTGGGTTTTGCAGACAATCTTCTGTTATTTCCCGTTCTTTTTATCTTCACAACAGATTTCTTCAACGCAATGGTCTCAAACTACAACTTAATTCTAAGCCATTGGGAATCTAACATAACTGAAATGATGTTAAGAGGGAATCATAAGGTCATTGTACGAGATCTCGGAGCGATTATCGGTGCTCCACACAGCTGTCGTTGCAGGTCATTCGTCGGTCAAATGATAATTAGCAGCTGCCTCCCCTGCAATAATGAACTTCTTTATACGAAAAACGATTAAGCTTTTGATTTGAAAATTTATTTATTTCCAAACAAATGACTGGCCAAACTGACAAGATCATTAAATAGTTATATTCGTTAAATATTTAAGAAATAATGCAATAAATACACTAAAGCAGATCACAACGTGTTTTATTGGGGTAGCCATTGCTTCGTTTTAAGTTATAAACTTTATTACTCCCATTTTGCCAACGAGAAAGTAAAACGCTATCTTTTAACTATAAAAAAAAAAACTTGGGACGGTTCTACTTCCAGTTTTTTAAATTTCACACGAAATTCATGAGCTAAATACCAATAATAAAATACTAACAATATCTTCTACTCAGTTTGCGAATTATACTTTGACGATTGGGGGTGTCAACCTTTTTGGTTGTAGTTTGGTAATACTGTACATGCTTCAGGGGGTCAAATTTATGAATGTACTTAAATTACTTCTAATTTATTAATAAAATGTTTGTTTCCATTGTTTTGAGGGATATTTAGGGATTGTATTTTATATGTCAAAATTATGTATGGGGGGTGGTTAAGTGTATATTTAAATATTAAATTTTTAATTATTAATATTTAAGAAAGCTAATATTGAAGAAAACTATTTCTTACTAATAAAGGGCTGACCCCCCTATACGTCTTGTTTGCCCTTCAAGTAGCATCAAGCGTTAATTAGGTGGGTCAATCGCCCCCAAACTCAACTCTAATTCGCACCCTACTTATACATCCTTACAGTTTTTCTATTTCCCCCAATAATAACATAAATAAAACTAATAAAAATAAACAATTTAATAGCGCCTTTCTTTCTTTCTTTCTTTCTTTCTTTCTTTCTTTCTTTTAGTCTTTCTTTTTTTAGTATTTTCTTTCTTTCTTTCTTTCTTTCTTTTTTTCTTAATACATTTAAGTTGTAGCATATTGTGCAATACTTGGATAGGCAATATTCAACTTGAGGGAAGTGTAAGTTAAAATACAACATACAACAAAAACTCCCCAGTTGTAAATTGTTCTCACCTTTAAATCATTTATGGTTAATCTTGACCGTTTGCACGTCTGAAATGTTCTGAGCGTTGCTGACTGTTTTACGTGTGCGTTCTTAATATTTTACAGGTGACATTCCAGAAAGTTTCACACAAGTCATAAAACATACTATAGACATTTAGAGGTTATCAGGAGTACAACAATCTCACATCTATTAAGTTGCCCCGTTATTTTTTAGAACAGATGTGGTCTGTACTTCCAAGCATGCAAGCATTTATACATTTTAAAAGTGTTATTGGGATACAGGTACAGATAGCATTGATACTTAAACATGCACTGCTGCCTTAACTGTTAAGCACATTTGCAACAGATTCTTGCATTTGGAAGATCAAATGCATGCACTAGATGAAAGTAGCAGCTTCTGGAACTAAATTGAATTCTTCAAGATACCAGGCGATGATGATGATTTTATTTGTATTTTACCATGCACAAACTGTATTTGAGTAAAATGAAGTGGCAAATGTTAATTAGGAAAGGAACAAGATGATAATATTGTTTGTATTTAAACCATCACAGTAAATGCATTTGAACTACGGCGCAAGACAGAAGGAGGGATTTCTGCTTAAATGACCAATAAAGAGTTTTACTAGGGCTCTGCAGTGATTAAAAAACAATCTCAAATAATCAACAATGTATAACTGTGCACTCACAACCCCAGAGATCTGGTCCCAGCTGGAAGAATAAATGGAATTCTACGGGCAGCAATGCACTGAATGACGGAGTGCAATATATCCCTTCCCTCTGTACATTTGCATGGTACACTTATCCATCTTCATGTCAGCTGTGGGGTTACCCAGGGTTCACGCGCTAGCTTGTTTCTCTCCTCTCCGCTCAATAAATAAATCTCTGCTGCTCTCTGTTTACGGGCTGAATATAAATTTGTTTGCAGTCGATCGCGGGCCTGTGTGAAGGCATTAGAAATTGTATTTCTGTAATGGGTTTCAGCGTGAGGAGGTGGGAAGGGGGGGCTGGAGGTGGTGTGTGGCGGGAGTTGCAGAAGTGTTTGACTGCAGGGTAGAGCAAAAAAAAAAAAAAAAAACAGGTGTGTGCACTGCTCCACCTCAATGAGATTATACACACTTTTTTATCGTCCAGATAAGATAAATTTGCTCAGGGCTGAATTCACAATGGATTTAAACTGAATTTTAATGTTATTTACTCTCATTTTATAGAGATCAAATATTAAGGGTTTTTCCGTTTCTCTTCGTGCCATATGTTTGATTAGTATAAATTGTGAGAGGAAGCGGTATTCAACATGCCTCCATGTGTTTTCTACAGACGTTTGACCTCAGTTGAACAGCTCCGGGTAAACAAGTCATCGCAAATGTCCCCTCCCTCAGTTCCAAACAGCTTGCATCCCATCAGCGCGCATGTTTTGCCAGGACAGATGACAGGAAAACAGTCTCAGCTCATGTTCATAATAAGGTGAGGAAACATTCATTTTTCTTATTGACTGGAAAGAGACCAAATAATGCCAGCTTCCCACATATGAGCTGTTTCTAGTCGCATGCTGTCATAATACACTGAAAAAACAAATGGTGGCGTAAAAAATGGTAAGTTTAAAGGGCACCTATGATGAAAATCTACTTTTAAAGCTGTTTGGACAGAACTGTGCCTCCACTGTCATATCTGAGGGATATTTATCCAAAAAATCTCTTTCTTTTAATTTCCTGATGTTAAAATAGGACCCAAATCCCATTGATTTTGAGGCCCACCGCAATGTGGTGGAGTGCGGTTGTCCCCACCAACTGAATTGATTGACAGATGTTTTTATAATAACACGTAGACACATGCACACAGAACATTCTTTTGCAAATAAACTGGGATTAAAATATTTTGTAATTTTTTTTTTTTTTTAAATAAGCTTAAAACATTTTTCAAAAAGAGCATGTTAGTAATCTAGACAGTAAAATCATCATTTTCATTTAAAAATAAACCGCTCATTTGCATTTAAAAATAAACAGCTACACAGTATTCAGACTAAGAATGGGCAAATTCTGGAGACACCAATTGCTTATCTTACATCTTGTAAATGGGGTAAAATCGGTGACCTTTTAGTTACATTGATTTTGTCCAAGTAAAATGATTAAAAATAAGAACAACACTAAATACTATTTAAAGATCATTGTAAATAATAGGAGGGAATTTATCTGAATTTATTAATATTAATATGAAGGTTTGTTGAATAAGTGATTCTTTTTTTATTTGGCATGATTGACTGAAGACACCTTAGTTCATCACTCTTAAAATGTAAGTGTACAGGAGAAAAATATTTCACAACAAAGCCCCCCCAAAATAATTGTAAACTACTTTTCACCATTATTTTTCAATCCATAGGTTTTATGGCAATGTGTCAATGTATAATACAACACAATTTTGCATGATCGCTTATTATTATATATTTTTATTAATAATTACAGGTCTGAAAAATGTTCATACTTTGTAAAAAAAAAAGTGAAACGGTGCATTTTAGGTTAACTTTGAGTTTGTTGTCATAACATAAGTTCTGATATCTTCTGACAACTTTTACAGTCTATTGTAATGTGTTCATTTAAAACAAATGACATGTGGTGGCCAAGCCTCTCACTGTGAAGTAATTGCATGTATGTTCACCTCTCCATCTCTTTTCAACTGGAGGGTGATGAAAATACCAGTGAGGTGCTGGTAAGGTTTCATTATGATTTGAATGCATCACTCTTCTCAGAGGGTAAGCTCGCTCTGATAACCTGATCTCTCTTTGGCCATCCTCCCACCAAGCTGTGGGATCATGGCCACGATATGGAGGTCATATCATTGGCTGATTTTGACCTGCAACCCCAGTGACAGAGCTATGGAATGATGACTTGTAGCCCTGGTTTAACCCTAGAGGACTGTCGGGCCTAATTATTTTTCATCTTTGAGCCCTGAAAATGCCAGGAGTGAGACGTTGTTGACAGGTGACTGTCACCACTGGTGGTAAGGTCATTGCTGTTAATGCAGAGCGGGCCTGTCTCAGATGATTGGTTAAGGGCTGGTAATCTATGCACTTGTGTACACCTCTTACTTTATCACTGGTGAACACACCAGAGAGGAGGACAGATGAATAGCAGCCTGCCTAGAAACAATTACAGATTGATTTCAGAATTTTTTTTTTAACTAAGGTAACAAACATAAGGCAAAACTGTGGCGTGAATTTGTAAAAAAAAAATTAAAAAACAGAATTGAAGTTAAATGTAATATAAATGCCTATAAGTAATTCACTAGTAAGTCTAAAAGAATAAAATAAGTGATTGAACTTTATGTAAGAATGGACATTGATGATTAATGGATAGATGGATAGATAGATAGATAGATAGATAGATAGATAGATAGATAGATAGATAGATAGATGGATGGATGGATGGATGGATGGATGGATGGATGGATGGATGGATGGATGGATGGATGAATAGATAGATAAGGCTATAGATGTGGGTCTGTTAGATAGCTACTGTATAGATTGAAATACAGATAGACTTATTGAATGGATGGCTAGAAAGGTGGGTTGATGGTTGGATAGATATGGATAGATATAATGGACGGATGAATGGATAGGTGGATCGTTGGATGAACTGACTGGATTGATTGTTTGGGTTGATTGATTGATTTGATTGACTGATTAATGTTGAATAGCGATAGATGGATGGATAAATGGATGGATGGATGGATAGATGGATGAGTGGATGGGTGAGTCGGTAGGTAGGTAGGTAGGTAAGCAGGCAGGTAGGTAGATAGGTTAATGGATGGATGGATAAGTGGATGGATAGATAGGTGAATGGATGGATAGGTGGATATGCGGATCGATAGATGAACTGACTATTGATTGTTTGATTTGATTGATTGATTGATTTGCTGTTGGATGGATGGATAGATAGATAGGTAGATAAGTGTATGGATGGATGGATGGATAGGCGGATTGATGGATGAACTGACTGGATTGATTGTTTGATTTTATTTGATTGATTGATTGATTGATTGATTGATTGTTGGACAGATCTCCTCAGTGTCACTATCAGATAGGTAAATGGGTGAGAAGAGAAAAGAATTGAAAACATAGAGCGATGGAAGAATGGATGGATAGATTGATTGATTTTTTCAGGCCAAAAGCAACATAGTCAATATTTGAAGTGAATCTCATCAGTGTTGTCCAAAACCCATTCAGCAACACCTATTCTTATCTTAGAACAATTTTGAAAATGTTTTTGATCCACTTCACATGTTGAATACTGTTGATAGATTTGGATAAAAGCAGTGTTTCATTTGAACTAGATCTTACCGGATCCTGTTCTGGAAAATGTCAGATATTTCTTTTTTTTTTTTCAATTAGGTATTTATTTAAATTAATCCGGCATTAACTTTTGTGTGATAAATACCTGCATGTGTGTGTGAGAGAGAGAAAGAATGTAAATGAGTCCAAGTAAAAAATAGTAAGCAAAGTTGTGTTGATTGTGCGTACACACATAAAGGTAGTTACTTTCGGACAAACAGCTTTCTTATGTTTACAATCACTCCCATTGTTCGGTGATTATTGTTTTGTGAGCAGTGAAAAAAAAATGGCGTTCTGGCCTACCTAATAAAATTTGTATTTTCAAAATGCCAGATGTAGTCAAGCATAGATTATTTATTTTAAAACCACAAGTAAATCTGATAATGAGCCTGATGAAGTTGAAGTGGATATCAGGATAGCAGGAGACAGACACATGCGATCTCAAGTCAGCCAGAAAACATGACAGAAGTGGTAACTGTGGGCTCTTCTTGAAGATTAGACAGAGTGGGTCATTTTTGCCTGGCACATAACAGTGAAGTTAACTGAATGTCAGTGGTGTTAGTTAACCGAATAGTGATAGTTTCTGTTTGTAGCTATCTATTTTTTATTATTATTATTTTTATCCATTGTTGACCCATAGCATTATATTGCACAAAATAATTAAAGACCGTTCAGAAATTTGATGCTTTTAATGAAAATAAATTTGTGATGTCATGTTCTGTGAAAACTGAAATTGTGTGGCAGACGTCGGTCACGGTAAATTGTATTTTCTGGTTTTGTTCTGGAAATTATTCACTTAAAAATTATGCGCTGGATAAAATCAGTGATTGATGAATAGAATGATGGATATAATTATGGCCAGCTGGATAAAATAATCAATAAATGGATAAGGAGAGATAGAAATGATTTCTTGGGTATATAGCTTGATGGATATGAAACATGAATGCAAGTCAATTTGGATCTACTAAATGCATGGAAAAGGACATGTTCAAGCATTGATAAAAAGGAAAGGCTGAGAAAGAAATGCAAAAGGAGTGAGCGAGAGAGAGAGAGCATGCAAGAAAAAGCAAAGAGAGAGAGCGAGAGGACCAACGGGGAAGATGAAGCCGTTGATAACATCAACAGCAGTAATTGATTGAGCACATTGCTGACAAGGTGATTGTTTGAACTTGCAGTGATGCATTTTACTTAAGCAGCAAGATGACTCAAATAACAAAGCACACCAAGCACTTTAGAAAAACTTTTTAGACTTGGTGGCTTCATGTGTTTTCCTAATAGCTATGTAATTAGAAAAACACCAAGTGCCCTCCAAGATGCATTTGAGGCAGACTTGAGAGGTGGAGGCGGTTGAAGATGCATACACAATGCGGTCAAGTGTAAATGCTTCTGTTTGTTAATTAATCCCAAATTCCCAAATAGTTTAGGTTCAGTCTAGAAGAGTCCATACATGAGCGAGTAATTGTCGATGAGACGCATGGATTAAGCAAATGTGGATCTTGAACATCATTTAGCCATATGGGACCAAGAGAGCGCTCAACAGATCATTTCACTGCCCACCATTAGCATTATTACTAAACTGAGCTCTGTTCCATTTGTATATAGTTGTATACAGAATGATTATATATGATTATAATTTGACTATAATGATAATAATAATGATTATAATTGATTTATTTATATGAATAATTTCATAAAGTGCTGCTTAATAGTCATGTTATGTTGCATTTGTGCTTTATAATAATTAAGATATACACTACCAGTCAAAGGTTTGGGGTCAGAAAGATTTTTAAAAGTTTTAAATAAGCTTCTTCTGCTTACCAAGGCTGCATTTATTTAATCAAAAATACAGTACAAATTGCAAATGTTATTGCACTATAAAATTACTCTTTAAAAGTAGTTTATCATTCAATGTAATTATTTATTCTAGTGACTTTAAAGATTAATTTTTAGCTTCATTACTCCAGTCTTCATTCACATGATCATTCAAAAAAGTCACATGATCCTTTAAACTAATATTAATTGTTATTATTATTGTTATTATTATCATCATAATTATTATTATTATTGTTAATGGTAAGCGTAATACAAGCAATAATGACTAGACTAGTAACTTCATTTAAAACTACATACAATAAGAAGT